CTCTATCAAGCCACAACTTTACGTCCCAAACGCCCCCTGCCCGCCCGCCCACAAATGGACGACTGTTCCAGACGCTCTAATTGATTCATTTGCTAAGCAAATTATGAAGCGAAGGCATTGGTATGAAGCGGCCGTGATGCTGCATGGATATATGAGTACACATATGCAGCCGTACCTTCGGTAGCGGTTATTGGTAAGATGCCTTCGGGAAACTCGTCCAAAATTGATTACTAACACAGTGAGAACGGAGGCTCTTTTTCGCAGGATTTTGACCGTTTCACTCCGTTCTTTCGCCATTTCCCCACTATATAGCGCCCTACTAGCATTTTAGGCCGAGCACCAAATCATCGTGCCAACTGCCTTTAAGTACTTTCCGGGATAATTAAAATCCACGGTAGTTCGATCTTCCGATCACGGCTATCACATCTGCATTGCTAGTGGAGTTAGGGGCTACATCTAACTCCATTGGCATGCAGATGTGGAAGATAGAGGTCTTTTCCTCTGCTAAACCTTAGTCTAAGTATAGGGAAGGATTATTATCGACTACCAAAAGGGGTGCGGCCTTGTATCGCTGTGTCTCCGCAAGTGCCCCAGTACACCAGGAGTCGGCGCTACCCGCACCGGCGTCAAAACAAACATGCGGTACTGTCGCCTATAAGCCGGCGGTTAACTATTTCGGGACAAGCGGATGTGACATTCGCGTTTAGAATGCCGAGCTACCCCTCAAGCCAACTTTTCAGCCGACTCTGCCCTCCCAGAGAGAAGTTGGTGAATGACTGGCCTGATTTTAGGACATTGGGTGACTAGCCCGATTTTAGGACATTGGGGCAGTGAGCACTGGAATTTTTGTTGAACATCAGCAGCCCGATGTGATTAAAGTTGTCACATCACAGCACGTTTCTCTCTTGCTCCGACTCTTCGGTGTTTCTTATACAGTTGGTCGACATCACATTTTCAGATGACGGATGTTCGCAAAAACACTTCGCATTGCTCGATCGTCGAACAAAACAGCCACGAGTATGTACGTCAGGCGAAGTGAGTATTCATAATTTACTCGACTGCTCAAAAAAGGAGTAAAACAACTATTGAATGAGGCCCTCTTAGGTCCTGCCGCCATCACTTCGTAGATTTCTGTTTTTTTTTCAAGAGTTTTCTTGCAGAGAACCTCTTGCCCTACCGGTTTCTTCTGCCAGTTCTCTGCAAAGCGAAATCAGTTCCAATGCTGCGGACAGAGTGGAGGTAGAGTTCTTTTTTTTCGCGGTCGTGGTTTTCTTTAGATCAAGGGGGGGTCATCATCAGTTGTTGCTAGACAGGTCCCACCAGCGAAATAGGACCCTCTATCTTTTGCGCACCGATGATAAGCGCATAAAATCGTCGAGGCCGACTGATACTGTTGTTTTGCCCCTGCAGCGTCGGATGTGCTGTTGTTACCTTTACGCCGGTCTCTGAGCTGACTTTTTTCTTCTCGGTTCTCATGATTCATTATAGAGACGAAGCTTCAAACAGCCCATGGCTCTGATTAGTAGGCGAATGTGTGGTGCAGCCCGAGGGATATCTCTCCTTGGGTGCGTGCGATGGCTGGTGGTACAGGGTGGCTAGAAAAAAAGCATTCGACGAGACAAATAGCAAAGTTGTTCACGCCCAGAAGAAGACGTGAATCAGTACAGCGGGCAGAAGCTACCAAGATGTTCCTCGATAAGCAGGAGCTGGCCCTCGCCCTCACCTTCATGTACACCAAAATATGAGGTCATCTCCAGTCGCAGCCTGACTGGAGAAGACCTTTGGAAATCATTGTCACTCCCAGTCTGGAACTTCTAGTTGTGGAGTACATCCATGGGTGGCACCGTGGAGCAGTACTCTCATTGGAAGACTCACATCGAGGCAGCTTCGATAAAACCGGCTACGGTCTAGGACATATTTCACGGCAGTCGCCGAGGCGCGGGTTGATGGTATGGACCGGACGCACCTGGAATGGAAAGACCAATATTTTCTTCGTGGACCCCGGGCTGAAGCTGAGCGCTGGCGGTTACATCGACCTCAAGGAAGAAATTCTGCCACATGCTGGTGCCCGTACCTTCTCTGGAAACGTTTGTACTGCTACAGGATTTGGTGCACCACGTGAATCGAAGCGTTGAGAACTGATCGCTACTAGAATGAAAGGGGGTTTGAGGTACCTAAAGAAGATGGAATATCTAAGTAGGTCACCTGACCTGAATCCCCTCAATTACCCGGTTCGAGCGGAGTTCAATAGGGTGGTCTACGGTGGCGGAGAAATCGACTATCTCGCTGATCTCAGGGACCACATCGCGGTTGCGTGCCAGAATCTCTCGATGGCGCTCCTCCAGAAGGCTGTGGCGGAGTGTCATAATAGTATTTAATATGCTCTTTAATATGGTGGTAGAAATGTCCGATCAGAGTTTATAAAGTGTAACTTATAGCGCCTCGAAAGTCAATGAAGCAAAGTGACTTTTTTGGCTGGGGGGGCCCTGTAGAAAAAAGAAAAGAAAAGAAAAATAAAAAAAATCAGATGTAGGGAAGTGGCCCATTCGTCAATCCGATAGTGTGCGGGTGAAGCTGGGCTGTAAACGAAATATGCTGTTTTGGAACTCCATCCAGCTGGAGTTCAAAGATTGCGGTGACGCAAGGTGGCGTGCAGCCAGGCATACGCCTAACTACATATAGCCAAACGTGCTACCTGTCTGCGCCCTCCCATGTTTGGTTGCTGTCCAGTGGAAGGCGGACTGACCGTTGCGCGTCATGTTGTTCGCTACGGGACCTCAGCCATCTACTAGTGGCCACCGCCTAGATGGAGTAGTGGGTGGAGTCCGAAAAGGCATTCAGCATCCAAAATCCTTATTCACGATCACGACCGCGACTATTACGGAAGGAACCTCAGATACTCAGCTACGTGGAAAAGTCTCATCAGACAGTCTTCGGTTTATTTTTGTGCTGTTTAGGTTGTCCGCAACGTCGTGCCGCCTACATCGCCGTCGACGGTAATGCACAGGAATGCATTCCAGGGCCAGATATGTGCGCGGATGGTTTCGAATGTGTTCGAAGTGTTAATGGGAACGGAAAGAATATCTGTTGCAGTAAAGAGAACGGTATAGTTTATCCATTTTTATCTTGACGGGGAGGCTTGCCCCGTTTTTCAGCATGTTCTTGATTTTTTTTGCATTTTTGTGCAGCCTTGCTGACTAGTTTCCAAAATTTTACATGCAGTTGTTATCGTCACGATCAGTCGGGGCGGTGTCAAATGGTTCTGAATGAGCCCACCCGCTGTGTTTCCAGCACTGGCTGTTTTCTGAGCCGATCATTAACTGATTACTATTGGTTGAAAAAGCAGCTGGGTCGGACTCATTCCGGTCCTCCTCATACCGCCCCGATTGACTGCGATGTGTTCAACTATCATAGCGAACTTATCTATCGAGCTTTCTGGTACTTCCTAGAAAAGGGCAACCCAGTTTTCGCACGTTGCTGCAACTTGAATCTCCTGCTCCATGTACTTTTGTTCATAAAACCGTCGGAATGAGTAGTTTCGGACGTCTCGTCAAAATTTCGGACGTCAAATTTTTTGACGTCCATATCAACAAAATGATTTTCCCTTTGGCAGTTCTTCAGCTTCGTATATTTTCAACAGTTCTAATTTCCCACCATTTGGCTTTTTCAAGAGTGTGGTGAAGATGAGAAAATGATCAACGGTACGTGTGTGGTCCAAATAAGGATCGGTGGGCGTTGCCATAAGGATGAGGAATGCAGTGGAGGAAGCGAATGCAAGTCCAACATGTGCAGGTAAAGTTTGAAAAGAAGGCGCTGTTCGGCTCGGGAGGGGCATTCTGCCCCTTCGCTAGTTCTTTTAGAATAAGCGTCCTACCTTGGCGAGACCTGTAGATTCTTGTCAATAGTGAACGAAGCTTCCTCTA